TATGAAGGCTTTACAGGGAAGTCTTTGGTGCTTTCGTAGTGGTGAGCGCCCTTCGCTGTGAACCCAGCGACACAAGTTCGATTCCCGCTCACGATGAACAACACCATTGACGATTATCGTAACCGATCCTGGGCCTCCCCTGGGTCGATTCAGCCTCAAATGAGTACCTGGTGCCGTGTGGAAACATCGCCACTGGAGAGACAAAGGCGGCCGTGCATGGTGTTGACCACCCACCCCCTCGTGCGCCGCGCCGGCCTTCATAGGTGATCGCTAACAGCTCTCTCTGTTCAGGCTATACGGGGGACATTTGGGGACAGTGGTGGTGGTGGTGCAGATGGTGGTGACAGTGGAGGCAGTGGTAGCCAAGGTAGTGGTGGTGCTGGCGAAGTTTGTGGTCGTGATAATGTTCGTGGTGGTGGTGGTGGTCGTGGCAGCAGATTCTGTAGTTGTGGCGATCGTGGTTTTGGTGGTGGAGGCATTATGTCCAGCTTAGTATTGGCTACACACAGAGGTTCAATGTGGAGGGAGGAAGAGGATGGGACAATACAATATGCTCAGAGCTGACACAGAAATCCAGCTCAGGCTTAGATAAAAGGCGCAGCCCTGCAATTGCAAGCTCACGCCCGTAGATAGCCCACGCTGGCCATACGTCTTAACACAGTTGTGAGTGCCCACACTTTACCCCACCATACGCGACCTGCCAATCGACCATCTATGGTGGACCCATGGTCTACTGCTGGGAAGCGATGGGGAGAGGGGGGTTTATTTAACAAACTCGCTGCCATTGTTTCAACTTTCGCCGCGGCGGGAGATGGAATCGAACCATCGAGCTGTCCGTCGCAAGTCCAGCAGCGTGCTGACCATTAAAACCACAGGGGCAGCATCCTCCCAAGCTTCGGGCCATCTGACCAAATTCCCTTTTTGGCCAACGTTCTCTTCCTGCGGTGGAGCGGGTGGTACGGTGGATAACGCGCTTCCCAGCGACACCTGGCGCCACGAGTTTGATACCCGTCCGTGGTTAAACGACACCAGCGGCGAGTGATATCAGAACTGGCGCTTCAGTCGTTGTGGCTCGTTGCCACCCATGAATCCCGACCCTGACGACGCCTGCTGCTGTATATTTGGAGTTGGCGCGTCTCCATCCCCGTGGTCGCGTGGATTTTTCTCCGGGTCCTTCGGTTTTTTCCCTCCAACATAAGGCAATATAGAGTATTTGGCTGCGTATACATTTCCACTTGATAAGCCACTTCGTTGAGCTATCATTTGTGGCCCGGTCGCTTGCGAAAAAAAAGAGATATTTAGTTCAGTAGGCCTTACCTGGTAAAATAAAAGATAGTTTAGATGAATAGTTTAGTTTCATGGTGGCTCAATGGGAGAGGGAGGAGGGGTCACAGGTTTGAGATCTGCAGGAGCTGTTGTGTCCCCTTATCTGCTTTGGGAACCATCTGTCCGTTGGAGGAGGGTGGACTGTGGAGTTAGCAGCATACCGCAGCGTCGATAGGTCGATAACAATTGATTCGTGCACTCAGAGTGTGTGTGATAATGGATAATTATTATTTGCTGAAGTTACAATGGGGCTCATGAAGCTAAAGAGGCAGATGATGCGACTGATGGTACAGGACCTGAGACAAATACATAGACACTACGCATTAGAGAAGTGCAAATTAGACAGGCAGCACACGTATGAATGGAACAGACTAACGAGACAACACACATGATACAGTCCAATTGAGACGACATTTAAGACAGACGGTGTACATGACAGTGCAAATGAGACACTGTTAACGAGACAGTGCAAACAGACGTTACCAATGTGATTGAACGCTCAAGACAGACAACGCTACCGAGACAGATGGGCGCAAATTAGGCATTAACTTGCAAGAGAGGCAGCACAGAATGACGTAGACACGAAACGATAAAGAAAAACCCCTCGAAAAAATTCATCGGCAACAAACAGCAAAGGCCTCAACAACAATCATGAACAATGACGAGCAGAAATGGGCCAACGTCGTTGGCACGCGTGCTTGTTGTACCATCGGGCCGGGTACCGTGTCTACTGCCGAGTGGCGTTACAAGTTGAAATTACAATTGCGTACGTGGCGTCTTCTCGAATCGGATTGCGATCCCCGGAATTGCGACAAGAGATTAATCGGGGTAACCTCCGGTGGTCCCCTCCGGGGTAGCCCCGTGGGACCGTCCCTTGCTGGGTGTGCGGGGTGAGAGGAGGAGGAGGGGGGGGGGTGTTCGTGAGAGCGAGAGAGTGGGGAAAGAGGCAGCAGCGCTGCTGAGACCATCGCCACCGCTGGCCTCGTCGTCAAAGTCGCTAGGGTTCAAAGTCAAGGCCGGGCGTCTCGCTCAGTCCATTCCTTGGCGCCCGGACAGCTCCGGAGAGATAGCGTTAGATTGCGAGGGGCCGATGGACCTGCGCGGCGCCTCGCAGCGCCGTAAACGTATTATAAATGAACAGGCGGACCAAATACACCGCCCGTTGCCCCCTAACTCCCCTACCCCCCCCCGCCGCGACCGATCACAGCCGATCTCTATCGAAAGTCGAACGCCAAGCAGGAGCCAGCCTGCTCGAGAAAGTGGAAGCGCGGCAGCCGCTCGTCTGGGTGGCGTGGGTCCCGTCAACGACCACCTGCGCCGAGTCTCGGGTCTGCAGACATCCCACGCGCTCCTTTCTCCACCACCACCTCCCCCCCCTCCCCCTCCGAGTCCGTTCGACTCAAGCGCCGGTCACGTTTAGAGTCCACCGCGGGCGATTGAACGTTGGGCGTGAGGGCCCGCGCGGCGTTTCTTCCTCCCCGGCGTTATCAGGTTCGTCCAGTCGGTGAACTCGGCGGAATCTGTTGAGGCGCGCGTGTGCGGGATAACGGGCGATTGGGCTCGCTCAGTGCCCGGCGTTCTTCTCCAGTGAAGGTCGCCGAATGATCTCGGGTGTAACCGTGGCCGCGCGGACTCGTTGCTCGCGTCTCGACGTCACGGTCGGACGGGGCGCTTTTGGGTCTCAGCAGTCGCAGTAAATCATCGCGCTTGGACGTTTTTTTTCTTGTCGACTCTTCCGTCACCGTTGTTCAATTAAAATGGACACCTTGTTTGAATATATGTATCGCTAGTTTAGTTACAATTGACACTAGTAATTGGGTGGTGAGCGATAATATAAGATGCTACACCACGTGTGCTGCGAGGGGCCGGGGACTGGATGTGGCTATACAGAAGTTCTTAAATCCATCCGTGCGGAGATTTGAGTGTTACTTGCCATATTATATGCGTGATGCTGGGTTTCCTCTCGACACGAAACCAAACTCTCATGAATGGGATCTCCATGGCGAAACATCCCAACGTAGCAGCACCCTCCCTGCAAACAGAGTCTTGAGATTCAGTGAGGCTTTCCTGGTTAAATAAAGCGATCAATTGTCTTATTATGACACTACAAAAAACTGATTATTTTGAGTTCTCCGAGTACAGGAGAATTGTGAGAAAAGCATGGACGTAATAACTGCTTTTTGTGTTTAGTAGTTTGTTATCCATCCTCCACACCTCCGATTAGCACGGTTGATGACGTACGGTGCGAAAGAAGTTCAACATACATAGACTCACCACACAGGGACCCATAGACTCACCACACAGAGACCCATAGACTCAGCACACAGAGACCCATAGACTCATCACACAGATACCCATAGACTCACCACACAGAGACCCATAGACTCAACACACAGAGACCCATAGTTTGTTGTCCTTCCCCCACACCTCCGACTAGTACGGATGGCTACGTACGGTGTGAAAGAAGTTCAACGTATATACACGCATGACAAGTGTATCTTATTTTCCACTGCAGAACAATGGGTTCACTACCATTGTACATTTAAAAAAAAACCGTGACTGCAAACAAAGTGTTGAGAATCAATGACGCTTCCCTGGGTAAATGATGGTCATCGCTGCAGTTATTTCATTATTTACGACGTCTGACAGCGGGGGGGGGGGGTTATATTTTGAGCAGATCAATGACGCAATTGTACCGATGTAAGACGAGTAACTTTCTGCAGTGTTGTGGAGTTTAAATAGAAATATGCGCAGTGCACGTGCGGCGCTAATACATTTTTTTCCTTTGTTTTGTTTAAATTTCTTAGAATTCGGAGCGAGTGCCCAAGTGTTTTTTGGGGGGTGGGCAGGGGGGGGTGGAAGATGATGGTGGGGGGGGGGGGCAAATAGGGTGGGAGGGGAGAGCTATACAGTCACGCTTGTGCGAAAAGCCAAGCGAAATAAATAAATAAATTCTGCACACATTATTTAACCTTGCACCATTAGTCATGAGCAATTGGGCGCATTTTCACTTTTCCGGATTTCGAATGAAATAAAAGTATATTTATATCCTCACAAAGAGATGTCTTAATTGCTGTGATATATCGTTTTTTTGAAGGACAGATTTGGATGCGATGTATTTTTAGCTGCTTCTGAATCGCGTCTCAACGCTTTCCAACGACGGCTGAAACCGTTGACGCTCTAGCTCTCTGTCCGTCCACATGTCTGTCTGTCTGTCCACAACACAGGGGTCACGGTAACGCTCGTAAAGATGATTTAATGAAAAATTGATCAAAGGCGTTTCCGAAATCGATACAAAAATAGGGTTGCCCCCTTTGGGTTGCACAGCCTGACGCGACGTGCAAACATCCGCACTGGGGAGACAAAGGTGGCGAGGCATGGTGCTGATCACATCACCCGCCTTGCGTGTCATCCGGGCCACGATAGGCGAGGACGAGTGGGAAGCTGGAAAGCGTTCCAGAAAACATCCGTATGCACGGTTTTTCTTCCTCGTTGTATTGTGGCTTTGAGCCTAACGGTTCCAACCACGTATCAACGTTGTCCCGACGTTGCCCCAACGTTGCATGTTGACCGGTACCCACCTGCATTGTTTTGACCTTTGACCTGCCGTCTTCGCCAGCCATGTTTCTTAAGTCTCCTCTTCGTTTCTCCGTTCCCCCCCCCCCACCCCGCAGCTTTAACGGGAGGTGCTGAAGACTTGAGAAGAGGGTTCTGCGGGCGGATTCGAGAAGGTGTCGAGTATTTTGGAGAAGAGGACGTGAAAGAGAGAGGAGAGGGAGAAGAGAGAGAGAAGAGAGAGCGAGAGTGAGGGGGAGAGCATAAAACCGCGAAGATGGGGCGGAAAAAAATACAAATAGCGAAAATAATGGACGAGAGAAACAGACAGGTAAGACACAAACACTGGCACGGTCCAGAGAGCCGCATTGCCCAACCAGCGTGTGGATGGGTGGTTGGGGTCCCAATGGCGTGCGCAGTTGTCCGTAGAAAGTGTTGCAGACACTACGATTTGGAGTTCGATTTTAATTTTTGGATGTGTTTTTTTGGGGGGGGTCTGGTGTTTCTGTCCACGGAATTTACTTTGAGGGTCGACGATGGTGTGCGTTGTTCGTCGAGGTTTGGAAAACCCCCCTGCGTCATACAGTACATCCGTCTCTCCAGATAAAAATGTAAAAGTGTTTCTTACACGACCCATCAGCCGCACGGCCTTCTCCGAGTGCATCATTTGAGCAGCATTCATGTCAAGCAAACTCTGGGCCCGTTTTGACGCGCTGTGTCTCATCAGCAGAGTCGAGCTTTATTAAAAAACAAAAATTATCTTGAATCACAACAGCACTTGGCACGACAATCAAGTGGTCTAACTGCTGTTCACGGCGCCTCGTAAGAAAAAGGTTGCCTATAGAACAAGATCCGTTGATGCAGGCAGCGATGAGAAGGTAACGTCCACTATTTGGACAAACGTGCAGGATGGACAACAACAGGGAAATTAAAAGTGTTGTTGTCGTTCGGGAAAAATGTAAGGAGCATGAAAGAGAGGAAGACCTCACGGAGAATGGCTTTGCCACGACGTGAGAGACTGGTGCCGGCAAGACGTGGCCACTACTGGAGCGTGTTCACACAAAGAGACAGAGCAAAGTGGAAACAAATGTCGAAATGTGCAGTGGACACCCACGGGGGCTACCTGCCCATGGATCGTGATGATGATGACGATGATGATGACGGAATGATTCGCAAAAGGGGGCGAACGTGGTGAGCCCCCACGCCCTGCCACCTTTGTCTCCCCCGGAGGAGCTGACGTTTAACGCGGCGCACACCAGGCCGACGCGTCGAGGGTCATGTCAGCTGCCCTGGTTTGACCCCGGCGGGTTCAGCCTGACCGCTAGGCCCATGCTGATACGAGCGTGGGGGTGGGGAGGAGGAAGGGGGGGACGTACAGCACATGGCATAATCCTCTGCGCTCTAAAAAAAAAATACATAAGCGAGTGGGCAAATAGCAGAAGGTAAAATCGCGGGCGAACAAGCACGGGCGCAAATAACGCAACGTACAGACGGACCGGCGCGTCGCCGCGGATTTGCCCGAGTTATTTTTTTTGTTTTTTGTTCTAAACGCGTCGCTGGTTGTCAAACACGACGTCGAACGCGGCCAGTGCCGCGGGTTAAGAACGGAGCAAAACATCGGCGCTCTCATCGCACCGTCCCGCACCGCCGTCGCCGCCAATCGCCAAACCGCCGCCCGGCAGCAGGGCAATGGGCGCGCGAGCGACGTTGTACTTGACAACCAACGACACTATGGGAAAGAAAGTAAAAAAAAACTTTGCCAGGCCCACGGCGATGCGCCGATCCAATCTGTTATGCCGCGTTATTTGCGTGCGCGTTCGCCCGCGGTTTTTTGCCTTCCGCTCTTCGCCCGGATCTTTCGGCGCTTTGCTCGAGTAGGGCCGACGACGACTCGGGGCGAAGGCACAGCCCCCGGGCGGCCAGCAGCAACCAGCAGAGAAAAGTGCAGGAGAAATGGGAGGGGTAGGGGTGGGGGGGTGAAAGAGAAAACAACTTAGCAGCGTGGTGCAGTATGGTCAAACGGCCCACACGATCCCCCACTGCGTGGGCCTCATCCAGCAGCGCATCGACAAAAGGGGGTGTACATTCATTCGCGTGACCGAATCGTGCCAGGCCCGGGTTGTTACTTCGGGACGCCTGCCTGCAGGGGCAATGTGGCTGTACAGCAAGAAGGTTCCCGACGTACGTTTGCGACGTTAGCTGTGCGTTGGGAGGGGGGGGGGGGTTTCTCCGGACATTTCCGCTTGCCCCCCACGCACCGCAGTGGAGGAGCCATGCTCGAGGCTCTGGCCAAACATTGCAAAGCGAGGACCCGCCTGAGAGCAAGTTTTAGAACTCTGACCCGATTATAAATTTGAGTGTGTGTGTGTATCGTGTCATCTGCTGCAGTTTCAGCATACTGTGTAAAATAATGATTATCTTCTTTGGTTCTTTACCGAAAGAACCAAAGAAGATGAATCATTGCAGTCACGAAAGCTTTAAATCGAAAAATGATGATAATGATAAACGTAATTAATGATAATGCATTTTATTTAACCAGGGGACACCAATTGAGATTTAAGACTCGTTTTCAAGAGGGTACTGCATTCGGCTGTCTGGCCAAATGTATGAACAAGCGTTTGGCATGTTCACGATGACGATGCTGCCGCTCCTACTGCTGCTGTTCATGATAACGCTGATGATGCTGCCGCTTGATGATTGAGATTTTGACGGTGACAATAATGATGATGAAATACTGATGATGATCCTGATGATGGTTGCGATGATGACAACAATTATAGTGATTCTGGTGATGACGATGACAATGATGACAGTGATTCTGGTGATGACGATGACATCGATGACAGTGATTCTGGTGATGATGACAATAATGACAATGATTCTGGTGATGACGATGACATTGATGACAATGATTCTGGTGATGACGATAAAATTGATGACAATGATTCTGGTGATGACGATCACATTGATGACAATGATTCTGGTGATGACGATAACATTGATGACAGTGATTCTGGTGATGACGATGACATTGATGACAATGATTCTGGTGATGACGATGACATTGATGACAGTGATTCTGGTGATGACGATGACAATGATGACAATAATTGTGGTGATGACGATGACATTGATGACAGTGATTCTGGTGATGACGATGACCACGCAAGTCCTAACAGCGTCACGACCGCCCCCCCCCCCCCCCACCTCTCTCCGGTCTTCGTCGCCGCTCCGCAGGTGACGTTCACCAAGCGCAAGTTCGGCCTCATGAAGAAGGCCTACGAGCTGAGCGTGCTGTGCAACTGCGAGATCGCGCTCATCATCTTCAACAGCTCCAACAAGCTCTTCCAGTACGCGAGCACCGACATGGACAAAGTGCTGCTCAAGTACACCGAGTACAGCGAGCCGCACGAGAGCCGCACCAACTCCGACATCCTGGAGGTGCGTCGGTGTCCGTGCCGGTGTGCGTGCGCTCGTCCCGCCGGCGACCGTGCGTTTGCGCGTCCGTGCGCTACGACCCCCCCCACTCCCCCAACCCCCCGGCCGGTCCTCTCGGCCCCCTGCTAGGTTCGACTCGGCCTTAAATGGGTTGGCTGGTGCGGTGCGTAGAATGCCGGCGTCGGGGAGGCAAACGGGGCCGGGTGTGGTGCTGGCCGCCGTCCCGCTCGGGTGCCGTGCCTGGGCCTTCATCGTAGGTGCTCGTTGGCAGCACTTGCCCCAATATTCTGTTAAAGGCTAAACGGGTGATCTTTGTCTTTGCATGTACGTGTGTGCCCCACGGGCAATCATGTGTCTGTACGTGTGTGTGTGTCAGTGTGTGTGTGTCAGTGTGTGTGTGTGTGTCAGTGTGTCAGTGTGTGAGTGCCCCACGGGTGATGATGTGTGTTGACGTGCATGCATGTCCGTGCGTGTGCCCCATGAGTGATCACGCGCGTGTGTGTGTGTGTACACCTGTGTGCGCAGCGCTTGTGCGTGTGTCGCTAGCACTCCGCTGTGAACCCGGCGTTCCCGAGTTCGAATATCGCTCAGAGACGAATACCAAAGCTTCCCCTGGGCTGGGTCTATTCAGCCTTAAATTAATACCTGGTGCAGTGTATAAACAGTTCGACTGCGAGAGACAAAGGTGGTTAGACGTGGTACTGGTCACACTACTCTTTGTGCGCTGTACTGGCTTTTATAGGCACTCATGAACAGCATCTGCCTGTGTAGGCTATACGGGGAACATTTGTCTTTTGTGTGTGTGTGTGAATATGTGCACATGCGTGGGAGTGTGGCTTGCGTGTGCGTCTGTGTGTACAGCACTTGACCTCATGGGTTGTACGGCTATCGGTGGGGGCTTTCTTTTTTGTGCGTGACCTTATTAGGTGTTCCCTAACCACACTTGCTCCAAAAGTCTGTGTAGGCTACACAGGGGAGCTTTGTCTTTTTATGGACGTGTGTGTGCCTATGTATGTGGGGAGCGGTAGTGTAGCGGTTAGCACGCTTAGCTACGAACCTGGCGACCCAAGTTCGATTCCCCGCTCACGGCTAACCCCAGTGATGATTGTTTGAACCGGCCCCTGGGCCGCTCCTAGGTCGACTCAGCCTCAAATGAGTACCTGGTGCAGTTTGTAAACATCACCACTGGGGAGACAAAGGCGGCCGGACGTGGTGTTGGCCACCCACCCCTTTGCGTGCTGACCCGGCCTTAATAGGTACTCGCTAACAGCACTTGCCCCAACAATCTATACGGCTACATGGGGTATCTTTGTCTTCATCTTTGTGTGTGAGCGTGTCCACGTGTGTTCGTCTTCGTGCACACATGTGCTTGTGTGTGTGTGTGCGAATGGGTGCATGCGTGTGTGCGCCGTGCGTGCGTGTGCGTGGGTGGTCACGCTCATGCCCTTAATCTGGCGCCGGGCGGATACGCGACTATCGTGCAAGACTGCACGTGCGTTCACGCGCCGCGACACGTGTGTGTGTGTGTGCCTGTGTGCCTGTGTGTGAGCGGTGGTTTAGCGGCTAGCGCGCTGCGCTATGAACCCGGCGACCCGAGTTCGATTCCTGCTCACGGACACCAACATCGGTGACGATTATTTGAACCGATCACAAGTGTTCGCTGACAGCACTTGCCCCAACAGTCTGTGAAGGCTATACGGGGGATCTTTGTCTTTGCAACTGTGTGTGCGCGTGCGGGAAGGGTTAGTGGTGGACAGTAGGATCCGGGTGTACAGGCCTACACAAAGACAAAGATCCCCTGTGTAGCCTTTAACAAGACTGTTCAGGCAAGTGCTGTTAGCGAGCACCTGTTAAGTCCGAGATGGCTGAGTCGACCTAGGGGAGGCCCAGGACCGGTTCCACTAATTGTCACTGGGTGTTGTCCGTGAGCGGGAATCGAACTTGGGTCACTGGGTTCGTAGCGCAGCGCGCTAACCGCTACACTACCGCTCCCCAGACAAGCACACACACACACGGATAGACACACATGCGTGTAGACACACAGACACAGTCATGCGTGTTCCGATGCTATAGAAACAGCTCTGTTGAGGGTTTTAAGACATTTCTTGTGATATGACCTTTTGTACTTCCTGTTGTTCATTTAAGGCAGCACAGTTGTAATGAGACGAGCAGATTAAAGTAAAAAAACACACACATTTTTATCTCTTAACGAGAACCTCAGTAAACTTTCATATCCCTCCGTATCAGTGCTCTGAGTTGCAGTAAGTGCTCTCACAGCATACGAGCAAATGTCATAATTCTTACTATTCGCAACCCCTCTGTAAAAGCCATTTCTGGATGAAGGCCTCTGCATGATGCCTTGTTGGCCGTGGGGGTTGCTTGACCGTACTTCACCATACCGAAGGGAGGGGGTGGGGGGGGGTTGGTTCCGGACCAATGCAGATATCACACGCCTGTTTGTGCTAACCGCGGCTGGGCATTGAACTCGGGTTTACCAGGGTCATAACGTAGCACGCTGAACACTCTTTGCATCCGCTCTGCCATCGTGGTTTAATTCGATTAAATTAGCGGGCAAACAGGGCTCGACCGCTGGCTGTGATGTTCACGAACACGCAAGTGGAAATTCGTCACCTTGCATGGAACTCCCCTAGGTTGACTCGGCATCAAAATTACGTGGCACCATTACCACTGGGGAGGGAATGGCAGCCACTGATTGATTGTGCGTGTGTGTGTGTGTGGTCTTATACCTCCCACATGACCTCTCTGCATGCTGGCTTTAACAGGTGCTCGCGAACAGCACATGCCCCACCAGCCCAGCCAGGCTAAAATGAGGCTTCGTGTGTGTTGGCGTGCATGCGCATGTTTGTGTGTGTGTGTGTGGGCGTGTGCGTATGCGCGTGAACCCGTCGACCCGAGTTCAATTCCCACTCACGGCCAATAACAGTGGTGAATATTTGAACCGGTCCTGGGCCTCCCCTAGGTCGACTTAACCTTAGCGTGAATACCTGGTGCAGTGTGTAAATATCAGTATTGGGGCGACAAAGGCGGTTAATTGAACCATTCCTGGGCCTCCCCTAGGTCGACTTAACCTTAGCGTGAATACCTGGTGCAGTGTTAAAATTTTGACTTAAAACTTTCGTGACTGCAGGAATTCATATTCTCGGTTCTTTCGGTTAAAGTCACGTAGATAGAAAATAAAATAAAAAAATAAAAGATAATAAAATAAAATTAAATAATAAATTCTAATAATAAATTGAAAATAATAAAAGCAAAAAACGTAAGGACGTTTCGATCGCAACACACAAAGCGGTCTTCATCTGGCGGAGAGAAGAGAGGAGCGCTTGTGTTGCGATCGTAACGTCACGGGGCCTTTTTTTATTTTGTTATTTTCAATTTATGATTGAAATTTTACATTTTCTTATTCGTTTAATTTAAATATTTTTTTATTTTATTTTCTCTCTGCGCGACTTTCCCCCAAAGGAACCAAGAATACGGTGTTTAAATACCAACGTTGGGGAGTCAACGGCGGCTGGGTACGGTGCAGGCCATACCATCCCCTTGTCTCCTGTGCTGGCCTTCATAGGTGCCACTCGCGAACAGCACTTGCTCCAATAGTAATGTGCGTGGGACACCTTTGTTTGTGTACATGTATTGACTACGGGCCCTTGCATATGAACTCCCTCTGCATACGTGTGCATGGGCCAGACATGTGTCAAGGAATTTGCAAAATCAGTACTGGATCAGTTTGCAAGCACATGACCCGGAGCCCTAGTTCCGCTTCAGCCAAGATCTTTAAATAAATGAAATCAATATCTAAAATAAGATTCTCTCTAAAGGTCATTTTATGTTTTTCTCTTTTACCTAAACTGTAGTTTATTTTATTTTGGTGACACGTTTAAATGCCGTTTATCGTCAACACAATGTCAAGAAACCTGGCCTGGAATTTACAAAATAACTTGGCAATCGTCATTGGCCAAGATCAGTCTTCTCTCTGCCCACTCTTCTTGCAATAACAAAGACAAAGACCCCCCGTATAGCCTGAACTGACTGTTGGGGCAAGTGCTGTCAGCGAGAAGCACCTATGAAGACCAGCACAGCACACGAGGGGTTGGTGGCCAGCACCACGCCTGGCCATCGTTGTCTCCCCGGTGGCGATGTTTACACACCGCTACACCAGGTACCCGTTTAAGGCTGAGTCGACATATGGGAGGCCCAGGACCGGTTCAGATAATGGTTACTGGTGTTGCTTGCCGTGAGCAGGAATCGAACTCTGCTCTTTGCCGAGTTCGTAGAGCAGCGCCTTAACCACTGCACTACTGCTCACCGCAACACTACCGCTAACCGCTACGCTATCGCTCCCCACAATAGTCCACCTAGCACCAACACACCAGCCGATTCCACCCCTGATTACCTTCACTGGTCCCGAAGCACAGGCCCTGCGGACCAAAAGGTCTAACGGTCAGCAATAAACAGAGCTTTTAACATTTGCAATTAAATGTAAGAGTCAATACGTCCCCTCGGATATTTGAGAAAGGTTATGAGAGCTTGGGAAAAGAGACGATGATACTGACGATGGGAGGAGGGAATATCGAAGTGGAGCAGCATGAGGAAAGAAACAGAACTATAAGTGAGGTGACCTGCCGCGTGGTGAGTGAATTAGTGAGCATGCGAGTGAGTGAATGGGTGAGTAAGTGAAGTGATTTGTGACCTGCCGCGTGGTGAGTGAATTAGTGAGCGTGTGAGTGAGTGAATGGGTGAGTAAGTGTAGTGATTTGTGACCTGCAGCGTGGTGAGTGAATTAGTGAGCGTGTGAGTGAGTGAATGGGTGAGTAAGTGTAGTGATTTGTGATCTGCAGCGTGGTGAGTGAATTTGTGAGCGTGTGAGTGAGTGAATGGGTGAGTTAGTTGTTGTGACCTGCAGCGTGGTTAGTGAATTAGTGAGCGTGTGAGTGAGTGAATGGGTGAGTAAGTGTAGTGATTTGTGACCTGCGATGTGGTGAGTG